GGGCGATACGTATGCTCGCCACAACAAACAAGGAACAATCAGTGAGGTTATCGACCCTGGATGCTATGACAGCTCGTAAGTTGGTAATTGTGCACATCACACTCGAAGTGTGTCTTCTTAATCTTCAAGTTAGTCTCAGCTTCCCGTCGCTCATTTGCATTTGTCTATGGTGGCTTCACGGTCTTTCTCCGCTGTATTCGTCGCCTTCTGTGCCTTCCAGGACATCAAATTCGTGACGGGCAACGCCACTGACTGCGACACTGAGTGCGCGACAACTTACCCTGGGTCATATTGTAAGTATTGGAAGACGCCAAGCACTTGCTTCGGCTCGGATGCCCCGTGCTTCTGCGGCACGAGTGAACCGACTGAAGCTCTCCGAGGTTCCACATCCTCTGCTGCAATGACGGATGAGGTTACTGAGGCCGCTACAAGCGAAGGAGGTACGACAGCTGCTCCCGAAGCAACGAGTACGACTGGTTCTGAAGCTACTGTCGAACCCACAGTAGCGGCCAGTACAGCTGCTATGACCGATGAGGTTGCTGTCACTACTGCAGCTCCTGTGACTGCCGAAGTGACCATAAGCACGGCAGCTGGGGAAGCTCCCGGTAGAGACAAGGATGATTCTGATGCTACCACCCAGGTCGCTACGGAGGCTGCGACTGTCACGACTACGATCGATGCTCCTGTTGAGCCTACTACTATCACGTCCCCTCTATCGGTCAGCACAGCTGCTGTGACCGATGAGGTTGCTGTCACTACTGCAGCTCCTGTGACTGGCGAAGTGACCATCAGCACGGCAGCTGGGGAAGCTCCCGGTAGAGACAAGGATGATTCTGATGCTACCACCCAGGTCGCTACAGAGGCTGCGACTGTCACGACTACGATCGATGCTTCTGTTGAGCCTACTACTATAACGTCCCCTCTACTGGTCAGCACAGCTGCTGTGACCGATGAGGTTGCTGTTACTACTGCAGCTCCTGTGACTGGCGAAGTGACCATCAGCACGGTAGCTGGAGAAGCTCCCGGTAGAGACAGGGATGATTCTGATGCTACCACCCAGGTCGCTACGGAGGCTGCGACTGTCACGACTACGATCGATGCTCCTGTTGAGCCTACTACTATAACGTCCCCTCTACCGGTCAGCACAGCTGCTGTGACCGATGAGGTTGCTGTTACTACTGCAGCTCCTGTGACTGGCGAAGTGACCATCAGCACGGCAGCTGGAGAAGCTCCCGGTAGAGACAAGGATGATTCTGATGCTACCACCCAGGTCGCTACGGAGGCTGCGACTGTCACGACTACGATCGATGCTCCTGTTGAGCCTACTACTATCACGTCCCCTCTATCGGTCAGCACAGCTGCTGTGACCGATGAGGTCGCTGCTACTACTGTGGAGACGACCGATTCCGAGACTACTCTCAGTCCGATTGTGTAGCCGATTTAGGTTAATGAAGCTTTGTAATGTCCCGGAGTGCATCTTAATACAATCCTGGCCACTGCAGGATGCCTTGATAACGAGTGTATAAGTGTTTATCTGCCCGAGTTGCGTTGAAGGATACGTTGCGCCCCAACATCACGAGAGCATCGACGATACACCCAAAAAGGAAACCAGGTTTCCGAAACCTATCTGGAGTGCACCAGAGCTATCTGAGCGTTCGAGACAGACGAGCGAAGGCGGGCAAGCCGCGCCAGACTGACAGCGGTGGGTGTACTCGCTCACGCACTAGCATCATGCTAGTAGCATGAGCTCATGTTGATCCCCTAGGGTCTGAATTCCGATTGCTGATATACTGACAATTTTGTTGATAGTGAGTTCAAGTACAGAGGTTGGATATCCTAGAACCTCTGATGTATCCTCGGCAGCTCAATGTGTTCTTATCAAGCTTCACATGTGTGACACCGAGCAAGCATCAGGGTGGCTGCAATCGGTGGGCGAGCTTGTTACTCGCGTAGCTCCCTATGGGAATCAAGCCAACTGTGGTGCTGACAGCACCGTGCTGTGTAAATGCCCAGCCGCTCAGCCAATAAGGTTTATTCAGCTGAGTAATTATTTTGAGGTTATGCCTTGACAGCGGTTTCAGATGGATTGGGCAACGAGGAAGTTCCAGTATGACCCGATGAGGAGTCATTGACTGTGCGCTACAGCCACGCAGAGTTAGAAGACGTACACGAAGCCCGATCGCTGCAGGTTACACAACCCGTTGTAATCTGAAATATATTCCCCTAAGCGTTGATAGTGAGCGGCGACGAGCGATTGCCCTGCATGATCATCACATTCGCCTTGGCAATCAGAACGAGCCGCAGACCCGAACCAGGAGATGTCTAATCGGTCGAAACGGTGCTTGCGAGAAGCCGACCAAACTTCTCAGAAGAAGAGTGGCTGAGAACGCACCGCGAACCACACTGTATAAGATGCAGTATCTTGTGAAACGATTGGGCAGATAGACACCGGGCGCACTATTGTTCAGCTACGACGAACGAACATCATTGGACTCGCTAGTGCTCAAACGGGTTGCCCAGTTAGCACCGGCTTATGGGGTTAGCATAGGCTCTCACAGGTCCAGTCTAGCTCCGCACTTCCCGCAGTTTGTTCACATTCGTGCAAGATGACTATCCGCTCCTTCCCCTTCGTCATCGTCGGTCTCAGTGTTCTCCAGGACATCACAAACGTGATGGGTAACACCACCGAGTGCGATGCCGAGTGTGCCGCCACCTATCCCGGGTCGTATTGTAAATACTGGCAGACCCCCAGCAGGTGCTTTGGCTCCAACGTCCCTTGTTCCTGCGGGTCGAGTGGAACAACTGAAGCCCCCCGTAATTGTGACGCTGGTTGTGCCTCGGATACTCCTGGCTCCTACTGCAAGTACTGGGCTACACCAAGCACCTGCCATTCATCCAATGCGCCATGCACTTGCGAGGCTGCTCCAGTTACCACTACTCCAAGTGAAGCCACCGATGAAGTCACTGAGACTACCACAATTCAGGACGGCACAACTGCCGCCCCCGAAGAAACCAATACGGCCACTTCTGTTGCTGTCGACACTACCGGAACTGTAACTACAACCGATGCGGCTGATGTTACTACCGACGCTCCTGTCGAGCCTACCACTGTTGCACAAACGACCAGCGCAGCAGCTCCCTCGGAAGTAACCACATCTCCAGATGTTACTGGAGAGGCCTCATCCACCACATTTGCTGCTACTACAACAGACGATGTCGCCACCAATGCCGCGACTACAGCTGACTTCCCAGTCACGACTATCAGTGCCGCCACCACCGTTGATGTCACCACCGAAGCTCCAGCAACAACGACAGAGGTGACCGATACTCAGGCTACCCCCAGTCCGAGTGTGTGAAGACATTTTGGAATGAAGCTTAGAAGTGTTTAATGAACCGCATTTTGACTAACCCGCGGTATCGCATGCTATTTTGATAACGAGTGAATGAGTATTGATCGAAAGAGTTGCGTCGATAGAGTCGTTCGGCTTTCACATCGCATAAGCTTCTTTCATGCAGCTCATGGGCGGCGTCGTTATGATGCATTTCAAGTATATAGTGAAACATCACGATGACGGATGATGCTGGTCGACAAGCAGCAGTCCTTCGTAAACGCTCTAACTTTAGGTCTCGGGTAAGCAGAAAGGCGACTCGCAAGCATGGTAGGATAGTCCTCGATTTGACATGGAAGGAGTGTAGCGTGTAGACGTAGCTTCGATTGACCAATTCCAACACCGTACTCATATGGACCTACCGACTGTAGTTTCCTTGTGAATGTACCGTGCAAGCACCCCTTATCGCAACCTTTGATTTCAATGGCTTAGTGTCATTCACGAAGATGGGCGATGAGAATGTAGTTGGTCTTATCAACTCAGCAATAACGTGTTGATGTTCGCAGACGTCGACATCTCGGCGATTTGAACTACGCATGTAAACCTCAACGGTTAACCATGTTCCTGCCTCAACCACTCGGCCAAAGTGTCTAACATTAACTTCAATGGGACGAGTAATCCTATCCAAAGGGAAATCCATCCCTATATTTGCTTGCCACTAGGTATGGACTATACCCACTGCGGAGCTATGACTGTTTAGTATCATCTACCGGGCCAGTCTCTCAATGCAAACCCACCGTCAACCTCCCCAACTTCAAAAACAATCCACATCCACGGGACAAGATTTGCTCCGTGATTGCGTTAACCCCTTCACTACGAGGCTTTCGTTAAAAGTCTGTCAGCTTCGTGGAGAATGAGTGTATACCGCACTGAGCAAAGTATCTTGTGAAACGAATGGGCGATACGTATGCTCGCCACAACAATCAAGAAACAGTCAGTGAGGTTATCGACCCTGGATGCTATGACAGCTCGAAAGTTGGTAATTGTGCACATCACACTCGAAATGTGTCTTCTTAATCACCAAGTTAGTCTCAGCTTCCCGTCGCTCATTTGCATTCGTCTATGATGGCTTCACGGTCTTTCTCCGCTGTACTCGTCGCCCTCTGTGCCTTCCAGGACATCAAATTCGTGACGGGCAACGCCACTGACTGCGACACTGAGTGCGCGACAACTTACCCTGGGTCATATTGTAAGTATTGGAAGACGCCAAGCACTTGCTTCGGCTCGGATGCATCATGCTTCTGCGGCACGAGTGAACCGACTGAAGCTCTCCGAGGTTCCACATCCTCTGCCGCAGTGACGGATGAGATTACTGAGGCCACTACAAGCGAAGGAGGTACCACAGCAGCTCCCGAAGCAACGAGTATGACCGGTTCTGAAGCTACTGTCGATACCACAGTAGCGGTCAGTACAGCTGCTATGACCGATGAGGTTGCTGTCACTACTCCAGCTCCTGTGACTGGCGAAGTGACCATCAGCACGGCAGCTGGGGAAGCTCCCGGTAGAGACAAGGATGATTCTGATGCTACCACTCAGGTCGCTACGGAGGCTGCGACTGTCACGACTACGATCGGTGTTTCTGTCGAGCCTACTACTATAACGTCCCCTCTGCCGGTCAGCACAGCTGCTGTGACCGATGAGGTTGCTGCTACCACTGCAGCTCCTGTGACTGGCGAGGTGGCCATTACCACGGCAGCTGGGGAAGCTCCCAGCAGAGACAAGGATGATTCTGATGCTACCACCCAGGTCGCTACTGAAACTGCAACTGTCATCGCCTCGACTACGATCGATGCTCCTGTTGAGCCTACTACTATCACGTCCCCTCTATCGGTCAGCACAGCTGCTGTGACCGATGAGGTCGCTGTCACTACTGCAGCTCCTGTGACTGACGAGGTGACCATTTCCACCGCAGCTGGGGAAGCTCCGGGCAGAGACAAGGATGATTCTGATGCTACCACCCAGGTCGCTACGGAGGCTGCGACTGTCACGACTACGATCGATGCTTCTGTTGAGCCTACTACTATAACGTCCCCTCTACCGGTCAGCACAGCTGCTGTGACCGATGATGTTGCTGTCATTACTGCAGCTCCTGTGACTGGCGAGGTGACCATTTCCACCGCAGCTGGGGAAGCTCCGGGCAGAGACAAGGATGATTCTGATGCTACCACCCAGGTCGCGACTGAGACTGCGACTATCACTACTACGATCAGTGTTTCTGTTGAGCCTACTACTATCACGTCCCCTCTATCGGTCAGCACAGCTGCTATGACCGATGAGGTTGCTGTCACTACTCCAGCTCCTGTGACTGGCGAAGTGACCATCAGCACGGCAGCTGGGGAAGCTCCCGGTAGAGACAAGGATGATTCTGATGCTACCACTCAGGTCGCTACGGAGGCTGCGACTGTCACGACTACGATCGGTGTTTCTGTCGAGCCTACTACTATAACGTCCCCTCTGCCGGTCAGCACAGCTGCTGTGACCGATGAGGTTGCTGCTACCACTGCAGCTCCTGTGACTGGCGAGGTGGCCATTACCACGGCAGCTGGGGAAGCTCCCAGCAGAGACAAGGATGATTCTGATGCTACCACCCATGTCGCTACTGAAACTGCAACTGTCATCGCCTCGACCACGATCGATGCTCCTGTTGAACCTACTACTATCACGTCCCCTCTACCGGTCAGCACAGCTGCTGTGACCGATGAGGTTGCTGTCACTACTCCAGCTCCTGTGACTGGCGAAGTGACCATCAGCACGGCAGCTGGAGAAGCTCCCGGTAGAGACAAGGATGATTCTGATTCTACCACCCAGGTCGCTACGGAGGCTGCGACTGTCACGACTACGATCGATGCTCCTGTTGAGCCTACTACTGTAACGTCCCCTCTGCCAGTCAGCACAGCTGCTGTGACCGATGAGGTTGCTGTCACTACTCCAGCTCCTGTGACTGGCGAAGTGACCATCAGCACGGCAGCTGGGGAAGCTCCCGGTAGAGACAAGGATGATTCTGATCCTACCACCCAGGTGGCTACGGAGGCTGCGACTGTCACGACTACGATCGGTGCTCCTGTTGAGCCTACTACTATAACGTCCCCTCTGCCGGTCAGCACAGCTGCTGTGACCGATGAGGTGGCTGTCACT